TCCTGGGGCCGAGGAGATGAATTACCTGTTAAGCACACTGGTTGCGCTTCCAAAGGACCTGGGTTTGATTCCCAGCACCCACATGGCTGCTTTCCACCAACTGTAAACCCAGTCCCAGGGACATGACACCCTCTTCTGGCCTTCTCAGGCACTGTACATGCTTGGTGCATAGACATACCAATACACATAAACTAAAAATGAAATAAAATAATGGGGGAGGGGCTGGAGAGATGGCACAGGGCTTAAGAACTCTGGTTGCTCTTCCATAGGACCGGGGTTCAATTCCCAACACCCACATGGCAGCCCTTTCTATAAGTTAATGAATAGATAGATAGATAGATAGATAGATAGATAGATAGACAGACAGACAGACAAATAGAGGTTGCTCACTATTTTGTATGGACAGAGTTCATGTTAAACCCCCAGCCCCAAAGTGATGGTCTGAGAAAGGGAGGCCTCTGTCCATGGCTGGGTTCACAAGAGTGGAGCCATTGTGGTGGGATTAGAGCCCTCATGAGGGCTGTAGAAAAGTCAGCTAGCTCTCTTCCCTGCTTTCCAATCATGAAAAAATACAAGCAATCCAGAGCTGGGAGGGGTCCCCCGCTGAGGTGCAACCAGGCTGGCACCCTAACCTTAGAGAAAGGCAAGCCTAGGGTGTGTAACGTTTCTGCCTTAGCCAGCTGAGCTTTCTCTGCTGTGCTGGAGACAGAACTCGGGGCTTTGCACACAGAGGTAAAGCACTCCAGCTCTGAGCTGAGCAACGGGCCATTTCTTTGTGCATTTTTGTGCACCAGAACATTTTTATTTCTCATGGATTTTATGATTGGTCTGTCATATACCATGAAAAGTCGTATGGGGATTTCTGCAGAAGGTTTTTTTTTTTTTTAATATGTAATTTATTTTTATTTTCTTTCCATTTGTGTTTTTCCTGCATGCATGTATGTGTCAGGGTGTTAGAAGCCCTGGAAATAGTTACAGACAGGCGTGAGCTGCCATGTGGGTGCTGGGAATTGAACCCAGGTCCTCTGGAAGAGCAGCCAGTGTTATTAACCACTGAGCCATCTCTCCAGCCCCCATTGTGTAGAAATTTAATTGATTTTGTAGATTAGTTTGTTGTAATACAGAATCGTTTTATTCAGAATGTGTCTGGTATAAATTTCCATCGGTTAGTCCCTGTGTAAATTTTATGTTTGTCTTAATTCATTTATGCTACTGTAGCAAAATGCCCAAGACTGGGCAATTTATAAACAAAAGGAATTTTTTTTTCCCAAAAAATCTGAAGAGCTCAAAGTTCCAAGATCAAGGTGTCAGCAAGGTCGGTGTGAAGTGCCTGGAGTGTGGCGGGCCCTGGAGGGGTCACGAGGTGGGGTGGACAGAATCATCTCCACTGCAAGCACTCCTATAGTGCTTGTCCCATCGGCCCTCGCAGCCTCAACCTTTCCAAAGGCTCACGTCTGAATCTTCACGCTGGAGATTAAGCTTCAGTGCATGAACTCGGGGAGCACATTCAGACCATAGGGATATTGATTGCTAAAGGAGTGGCATATTTTTAAAAAATGTATTCTCAGGTTTTTGTTGTTATTCTAAATAAAACCTATTTACTTCCTGTCCCATTCTCTAGCCTTTTTGTTTTTCTCTGGAGACAGAGCCTCTTGCATCCCAAGCTGCTTTCAAACTTACCATGTACATGGGATAACCTTTAACCCCTGACCCTCCTGCCTTCACCTCCCCAGTGCTAGCATTACAGGTGGGCACCACCAAGCCAAGTTTATGCCTCCCTGGCCTGACCCAGGACTCCACGCATGTAGGCAGGTGCTCTACCAACAGAGCTGTGCTCCCAGCCTTCTTTATCTCTTTCAAAGACATTACAAGTGTGTGGAAATACTAATAATTTTTAAAGATCTGTTATTTATTTGTGTGTCCAGATGTGTCTGGTAGAAATTTCCATCAGTTAGTCCCTGTGTAATTTTTATGTTTGTCTTAATTCATTTATGCTACTGTAGCAAAATGCCCAAGACTGGATAATTTATAAACAGGAATTTATTTTCTCAACAATCTGTAGAGCTGGAAGCTCTTGTGCATGTATGTGGGTACCAGTTGGATTCCCTGGAGCTGGAGTTACGTGGAGTAGTGAGCTGCCTGGCCTGGGCGCTGGGAATTGACTTCTGGTCCTTTCAAAATCAGCAAGAGCTCTAAACTACTGAGCCATCTCTCCAGCCCCTGTGGGACATGAATCATTTTTAGGTCGATCTTGAATACAGCAACCTTGTGAACTCTCTCCCTGGCCCTAATAATTTATCTGTTTGATGATTTCTCTCTTGGATCTTCTACAGAGCAATTACGTCATCTGCAAATACAGGTAGTTTTCCACCAACGACTCTTAAAATTTATTACCTTTGTCTGCTTCTATTATAGGTTGGATCATATAAATTGCTGATTTAGAAGGTTTGTGACCTAAAAAAAAAAAAAAAAAAATTGGCAACTTCGTTTGGTTTAACTTTACACATTGCCTGATACCTCCAGTGCAGGGCTAACTAATGATGGAAGATAGCCTTGTCTAAGTCCCACTTGAATGGAAATTGCTTGTAAAGTTTTTCCATTTACCATAGTACGGATTTTTCAGGTTAAGGAAACAGTGTGCTAAGGGGTTGAATCAGATGAATTTTTAATTTTTTAAGACTGCATATTACACTAGTGAATTACCTGACTGGATTTGTCTTTGTGTTCTTGGGAGAAAGCCCACATTTCCATGATACATTATTTTCCCTGTGTGCATGCTGTGCTTGCTTGACTTGCTATTATTTTATTTAGAGCTTTAGAATCTATGTTCATAATAGACAATAACAGCCAACATTTATTAAGTTTTCTGTGTTCCGGGCCTATTAAGCAGCATTAAGGTACTTCCTGTGACTTATTTCTTTTCATCCTTAGAAGGCCTCTGGGACAGCTAGTTCCTCTTTTTTAAATATGAAGGAATGAAGGCAGAGAGAAGGCACATCACTTCTTCAGGATCACATAGGGTGATAAGTGGTGTGGATTACAGTTCTCAGTTGTCAGACTCAGGAGGTCACACGGCCCCCATGGGTTAGAGACCCGTCAGGCAGACTGGTCTATAGTGCAGCTTTTCTAATAGGTCCCTGACCCAGCTCGGTGCTACCACCCCCAGAACAGTAAGTCACAGCACCCGTGGGGGTCAAAAGACCATTTCACGGGGGTACTAACCATCGGAAAACACAGATATTTATATTATGATTTGTAACAGTAGCAAAACTACAGTTATGAAGGAGCATCGAAAATAATTTTCTGGCTGGGGTCACAACATAAGGAACTGCATTGAAGGGCCAAAGCATCGGGAGGCTTGAGAACCGCTGCTCTAGAAACTAACTGTCTGGCTCCATCTCCTTTTCTCTTACGAAAACAAAACAAAAACCGTACCTGGCTCTGAGGAGCTGTCTCAGGGGGTGTGAGCACGTGCACAGACGTTAGGACGGAGTTTGAATTTCCAGCTCCCATGTAACAATCTGGGTGTGGTCACACGATCGAGCCACCAGCCAGCTCTAGGTACAGAGAGAGACCCTGTCTCCAAGGGATACATACAGTGGAGAGTTACGGAGCAGGACCAGATGGTCTCCTCTGGCCTGCATGTCGGTCTGCACATGCATGTAGGCACATTTTACCTTTTTTAGATCTGAGATTTAAGGGAAATCTACAAGTACCATACAAAGAACTTATTTCTCTGTGTCATTAAAAAAAAAAAAAATCATTCCAGGGAGTTTTTTTTTCTTCTCTTTTTTGACTAACAAATTGAAAAATCAGCTACTTAGTCACATATGTAAGAAATCGCACGACAGTAAAATGGATGTTTCTTGGCTAGAGGGCTTTACTTTTTAAGAAAGTTTACATTTGTGCCTTTAAACCTTTTGAATTGGTATATATTAATTATTTTTAGAATGGGTTTGAGCTGGGTATAGTGGTGCATGCCTTTAATCCCAGCACTTAGGAGGCAGAGGCAGGGGGAACTCTGAGTTCGAGGCCAGCCTTCTCTACATAGCAAGTTCCAGGACAACCAAGGTTACATAGTGAGACCCTATCTCAGAAAAAAAAAAAAAAAAATTTTGTCTTCACTCTGAGATTGTCATACCTATGTATATAAAATGCTTGGATCATTGACCATTCCCTCTCAATTACTCTCTTTTGTCTCCGCCCCCTTCCCTCTGGTCCTTTTTCTTTTTCTAGAATGGCCTCCAGTATGTTCCCTCCCTCCTCTTTTACCCTTCCCGCCCCCATCCTGCGCTCATCAGAGACAATACAACTACACTAGACAGCCAGGGCTGCAGACAGTCCACGCCCCACGGTTTCCAAAGCCCCGCGGGTCACAGCGGGCAGCCCTCTGCATCTCTTTCCTGGTCTGGGTTCAGGGAGACGATGAACGTTTTTTCAGTCCTGTTGTGTCTGTGGATTCCCTTTGTGAATCTGACCTGTTACTGCTGCAGTTTAAAGAGCAGAGGATGCCCTCAGACCTAACTACCTCCTCCAAACCATCCCTGAGGGGGAAGGCAGCTCATTTCATCGACGTTTGGGCCGTCTTCTGCGGGTCATCGCTCCTGCTAGTTTGCTTTTAGTTTTGTTTTTAGAACCCGGGGCCAACATGTCAGATTATATAGCAAGAAGACTTGGGTGAAAGACTTTGCCCCTGGCGATGCTGGGTGCCTCTTGGGGCCTAGAGGTGTGTACGTGTGTGGGAGTGAGGGGTGGGGGCGGGGCTGGCACTGACACCTCTTTCGTGTTGTCCTAGGTTCCGAAACTTAGCGTGGGCCACCAGGGGAGAGGAGATTGCTGTTTGATCCTTTCAGCCGCTCAAGTCGGCTCCGGTAGTAGGCCCAGACTTAGACCGGTGAGGGGAGCACAGCCCGCCCACTCTGACCCTCCCTTACCCTGTAACTCCACCCCTTCCCCAGTCCCTAAGACAGATGTGACAAGAGCTTTCCCACCCTCCTGAGTGCAACGCACTAGCCGGCTCCCGAGCGTGGGAAAGTCTCTGGACCATCATCCTTAGCCGCAAGTCCCCGTGGACACCTCCCGCCCGAGGTCTCCCCGTAACTCCTGTCCTGTCCTGAGTGGGCGGGGCCCGCAGCTGCTTCCCAGGTGGGGCTTCATCGGGTCCTAGTGCCGCCAGCTCGGACAGTCGCTGCCAACCGGGACGGGCGCTCACTCGCTTCTCCAGTGTGGGGAGACCGGCAGCCACTCGGCCGGCCATGAGGGGCACGCCCCTGCTCCTCGTCTCTCTGCTCGCTCTGCTTCCGCTCGGTGAGTTTTTTGGTCCGAGGTGGTGGGAGGGACAAGGGTCGCGATGCTGGAGGAGTGGCTGGACTGTCTAGAGCGTGGGCGGGGCGAGCCCCAGGCAGGCCAGGGTGGGTAGCCGGCCGGGGAGGTTTGGGGTCCCGGCATCATCTGTGCGCCCGGGTCACCATCCGTGGTGAGTGTCTTCGAGCCGGCCAGTCCAGCTCAGTCCCGGCGCTAAGAGGTTCCCAAAGGGCTCTTTTCATCTCTATGAAGTGATGAACTTGGTGTAAATCTGTGGCAGCAAACCTGCTGTTTGTAGAGAGAGGTCACCCCAACACCAACACCCACGTGGAAAGTATTTTTGCCCGTTGGGGGCGGGTCTTCCAAATATCACATATATAGTAGGCACTTCCGTGTCTGATCCCCTAACGCTCTGTAGCTGAGGGCAGATTGATGAGCTCGGGTCTGCCACTCACACACCTACCATCAACACTGGAAGAGGGGCTCACTCGGCTCTCCTCCCCAGGTTCAGTTCAGAGTGGGGGCTGTTCTACACTGCCCCACCTAAATTCCAAGATCCCATCTAGCTTCTCCCCTCTCCCAACACACACACACACACGCACACTCGCACACGCACGCGCACGCACTGTGCACGCCAGCTTGTCCTCTGAGCTCCAGGGGACCAAGGCTGCATCTTCCTCCCTCGGAGACCACCCCCAGAAGGCGCTAGAATTGTGAGTGGTGAGACATTCAAGATCCCTCCTCTAATCAAAGACAACGTTGACACAGAGTGCATTACAGCTTTGAGTCACTGCTGGGTGTCCCTATTGCATTATCCCTTCTCAATTTCCGTCTCTGTTCCATGGCAACAATCTGCCTTGCCTGTCATCCGGCAAACACTTGCAGCGTTTCTCCAGTGTGGTTCCACTAGGCTGTCTGCGCCTCCTGAACCCCACCCTAGGCTGGAGGCATCTGAACCTCTGGAAATAGAACCTGGGAGCCTGCTTTTATGTAGCCTGGGGGTTCCTAGCTGTGACTGGAGAGGGACAGGTAGCCTGCGGTGAGTTCCTTCTGAGACAGCGTTTGGAGTTTCTACGATTCTCACAGCTACCCTTTAATGAGCGCACACCTAGCTTCCCATTTCTAGATCGGATATGCTGTCTCGGACAGGACACGCACACAAATGTTCACAACCCCGCTACGGTCTCCCGTCAGATTCTTAACCTTCCTCCCTTTCTTGCCAAGGAACCTCTCCAAAGGCAAGACCCGGAGCTGACGCCAATGGGCCACTTTTTTCTCAGCACCACGGTGACCTCTGGTGGTGGCTTCTCTGCTTAACTGTGTAAGCGTTTGCTCCAGTGAAAGCCCTCCCTACTAGTTCCCCAGGAGCTGGTGGTGAACCGCCCAGAGACCTGTTCCTGGTCTTTTGGCTCTGACAGGCTCCGGTAAGCGTTAGGAGTAGACGGCAAAGCCTACACGTGTGCTTCTGGGGCACCCCTCCATTTTGAAGGCGAGAAGAGGGGGCTGCATCCCGGCGGTAATAGCCCCGCTGGTCATGCCACAGCCAGAGTGACCAGCACAGGCGCCAGTGATGGCCTCCGTGGGGCAGCTTCCCCTGGGGCAAGTTAAGAAGGGTACTAAAGAAGTACTGGAAGAAGCCCTGCACGTGGCTGACTCGCTGGGACCCGAAAGGTCTAGGGCAGTGGTTCTCAATCTTCCTAATGCTGCGACCCTTGACAAAAGTTTCTCATGTTGTGGCCCCCCAACCATAAAATTATTTCATCGCTACTTCATAACTATAATTTTGCAACTGTTATGATATGCAGGATGTCTGATATACGACCCCTAAAGGCGTGTGACGCAAAGATTGAGGACCCCTGGTCTGGGGAGTCTGGAGTCCACAGCTGGTCCATGAGATGGGGAGAGCCCCTTGCAGCAGCTAAATATCAAAAAGGACAAGCTGAAGGCCACAAAAGCCAAGTATCCAGGTGGGCTCAGGGCTCAAGCACAAGCCCCCGACCATCTGCCGAGCAGCCTGGAGCCTGCAGTCCCATCAGACTAGCTCCTGGGGCAGCAGAGACGGAATTGCAGGGCTGGAGGCTGGGCCAGGGCTGCCACTGACTGCCCGGTAGATCTGGACAAGTCCGATTCCTCTCTAGGAAGAGAGAGGTCAGCTCAAACAAACCAAAACCAAAACAAAACAAAACCAAAACAAACAAACAAAAAACTGTGAGAAGAACCAAGGTTTATCCTATGGCTGCAGACCGGCCCCAAGGGCATTTAAGCTGGTGGCCTGTAAAGAGGGAATTTAACGTGTCCTGAGGAGCCAAGCATCCACTGGACAACCCTCCCGCCCTCCTCCCAACCCAGTCTGGGGGAGGGGCAGCAGGCAGCAGGTGTGTCAGGAGCATCTTTCTCTGGGCACTAAATATTGCATCTGTTCTAGATAGGCAGCGAGTTGGAAAGCACACGGGGTAGGCAGGGCAGAGGCTGCTCGCTGGGAACATGCAGCCAGCCCAGCACCCACCCAGAAGTCTAGTTCACACTCGCTGGATTGGGGGAGGGGTTCCTATTCTAAGTACTCGAGGCTCCATCCAAAGAGGGGGAAGTTTGGTAAGATGTGCAGGCTCTTTAGGAAAGTTAGGACCAGACTCCGGGGCTTGCTGGGGCGGGCAGCCCCCACCACATTCCCACCCCCACACCTCTAGCCTCCTCCTCATCTTTAGCCTCCCACCAGCTCTCCTGCCATTCTCTTTTCCTGCTCCTGGGCATCCTGCTCACGTGTCCTTGACCTTCCTTGAGTCTCCTTCTTTCCGTGTCCCATCCCCCTCTCTACAGTCTCCTTAACGACACCATCGTACACACTCAAGTCCTTAAACGTCATCTTCACCCCAGACACGAGAGGCAGATGAAACAAGGACCCAAATACCTCTTGGATGCACAAGAGAGGCAGGTCTTGGGCTGCGCGTGCTCAGAGGGAAGCTGGCTGTGCGGGGCTCCCTATGAGAGGCTGTGCTGGATAGGGTTCTCACTGTGGCTTCAAGCCAAGAACTCTGTCTTACCAGGAACCAGCTGCCAGCTGGACGGCTCCACTTGATGTCTCAAAGAGACCTTGTGTCCTGTAGGTCAAAGTCTGGATCCAAGAAAGCCTCCCCTGGCTCAACGCTGTTTCCTTTCTTATCCTATTTTGTGTGTGTTATATGTGTATACGTAGTGTGTGTAGTGTGTGTGTATGCGTGTGCAGTGTGGCACACACATGTTGGTGCCTTTCCTTGCACGCTCCTCACCTTTATCTTTTGAGATAGGGTCTCTCATGAACTGTAAGCTCACTGACGTGGCCAAGGCTGGCCAGCCAGTAAAAACCAGGGATCTGCCTGTCTCTGCCTCACCCCCACACCAGACTTTCTTGGTGGGGGTTTGGTTGTCTGAACTCGGGTTTTCTGCCTGCCTGGCTGGCACTCTATAGACAGAGCCATCTTCTGCAGCTCCAGTTTGGCTTCTTTCTCTGGGAAAACACTACCACACACCCAGTTCTGCCTACAAGCCCACATTTCAGGAAATGTCCCTGGTAGAGGTGCCCATGAGTCCTCCTCACAGGCCAGGAGCTGCTCCTGGGTCTTGCCGTTGTCCTCACCCACAGCAGCTGGCACAAACTCCACTCAGACCTTTGTCGGCTGGTGGGCTGAAAATTATCCTGGCAGAAGAGAGAGTATGCTCGAAGACCTGGAAATGAAATGGAAAAGAGGCAAGCAGTAGGTATGACCAGAGAATAGAGTCTGAGGTCAGTGGAGGTAGGAATGTGAGAGAAAAGTATAGGTGAGGAAGATTAGCCATTGCTGGGGGGTGGGGGGGGAAGTCCTGAAGTGCCAGGCCAGAGCATTCCTGGTTGAACTGCCTTCAGCTCCGAGAGGCTGTGTCTGGGGAAGAGCCCCCACCAGGGTTCTGTAGGAAGACTTCCTAGCTACACAGGTAGCTGGGACAGGTGTGTGTGGAAAGAGCAAGGGACTGCTGGGACAGTCCAGGGCAGGAGAGAGAAAGGCAGACTTAGCTACTGGGTAGAAATGGAAGGAGACAGTAGGGGAGTTGGGAAGCAGAGCAGACAGGTCTGGTGGCCCCGGGGTGGGGGTGGCGAGTGGGGAACATGGAGGAACAGATGCCCAAGTGAGGGACTGGATGTTGAAGCACAGAACATCACTTGCTGCCAGGAAGAGCAGGAGGAAGAGGTCTGGCCCAGAGGAAAGAACCACAGGCCTGTTGGCATCCGTGCCCCGCCCCCCACTCCACCCCAACCTCCTCATCACAGCGCAGGGCCCCAGCCCTCTGCTTCTCACAGCCCTCCTCTTCACTGCCACAGCTGCAGTGGGGCTTCCGCCGGACAAGGGCCGGTCTGACTGTGTGATTTCCCAGGGGACTGCCGCCTGGCCAATGCAGAGGAGAAGCTGATGGATGACCTCCTGAACAAAACCCGATACAACAACCTGATCCGCCCAGCCACCAGCTCCTCTCAGCTCATCTCCATCCGCCTGGAGCTATTACTGTCCCAGCTCATCAGTGTGGTAGGTGTCTGGGCAACTGTGGCTCAAGGCTTAGGACAGAGGCAGGGCTTGTTTCTGGTTGCCCTCAGGGCCTTGGGGAGGAGAGGGGAAGGCTGGTCAGGGCGCAGGGCTGCCAGTTAGATGACTGGCATGTTACCTGTGGCTTTGCAGGAAGGGCACCATCCCAGACTGCTAATCTTTTCTTCTACTATTTCTTTTCTTCTCCTTCTTCTTTTTCCTTCTCTTCTTCCTTTTCTTCTTCTTCTTCTTCTTCTTCTTCTTCTTCTTCTTCTTCTTCTT